CTACACTAATTATGAGGACATGAAATATGCTGTAAGCTATTATATGACTCATAGGTGCTTATATGCTTTTCCAAATGATTTAATTTGGGAACTTCAATTTTTTTCCCCTCCAGATTCGGAAACTTGATGATAGCGAGTTCAGAAATCCTTGGACAAGAACTTATATCCGGGTATATATGATAATATGTGCATCCATATTTTGCAATGAAGGTGTCTGCATTCTTCTGTTTTATTGACAGCATTTTAGTACTACTACTGATTTTGTTGGACTTGCTTTATATGTTACATATGTGAGCAGCACACTTGCACATGTGCACATATGTGTTGTCTTGCAAGTTTTCTTTTCCTTATTCTGTATTGGGATCTTACCTTTAGTCTAATCTAGTAATGTGTGAATCCACTAACAGTAGATACCTTGTTATATTCCTTGAAGGAAGTATGAGTATTACCACATCTGTAGTTTATCCTTCTTCATTGTAATTTCTTACCCTGCTTAAACCTGTAAATATATATTTTCCTATTTTGCTATTGGGTTTTTTGGTAAAAATGCTTTGGTAATCTTGCTGCTAGCTTGATGAGACAATATGATGTGAATTTTTTTCATCCTGAGCGATTGCAGTCATGTGGATTAAATGGCAAAAATGTAGATTTAATATGTCTGAATGGTGAATGTTTCCTTATTTCTCTGTCTTTAATATATATTTTTGGATTCTCGTCCCAATTTTTTTCCATAAAGGTAAAGGAGTACAAAGGCAGTCCATCACGAAGCCGAAGTAGGAGTCGCAGTAGAAGCAGGTCTCCTAGAAGGAACAGGAGGTATTAACTTTAGTGGTTATCTTGGATTTATTTAGCCAATGCTTCCGTACCTTCAATAAAGATGTTTCTATCTGCAGCAAATCGCTGGAGCGATCTGCTTCTAGATCGCCATCAAAGTCTAGATCTGCTTCTCCTGTCAAGTCTTCAAGGTGTGTGTTGCTTGTTCTGCTAATCTGCTGTTTCAGTCTTCCACACTACTTTTCATCTTTACTGACACTCAGGCAAACATTTTTGTTCAAATTTGCAGAGCTAAATCAAGGTCAAGGTCTGCATCCCCTCACCCGGTGAGCATATCTGTTGCTCTGGTGGTTTGTGTGGTTAAAATTCTAGAGTTTGGTGTAGAATATTAAAGCCGAAGTGTTCCTTCTTTATCTAAGTAACTTTAATTCATTCAATTGCAGGCACGCTCTGGTAGTGGCTGATTACATTGTTGCCTATGTTAGTCTGCTTGCTGGGAGAGTGTGGAGGCTTGTCTTAGATGGATTCAAGTGGACAGGAAAGTGGATGACATCCTTCAAAGGAAACCTTCTAACTAAACTATATGTCTCATGTCTCGTTGGCTTCGTTGGTCTCATTAAGTATGCTTTATATTCATCTGAAGAAGAATTTAATATTTATGCATTTGGTGCTTAGATGTGACATATGAGGATGACTGCATAGGTTCTGTTGGTGTCCTCGTAGTGTTGATTTGATAGTTTTTGAATGTTGGATGTCTCCTTGGATACTCCTTTATGAGTTTTATTCTACTTGCCCTCGTTGAATCACTAGTCATGATGCGTCTGTTTTTAGTAATTTTAGTGTCTTTGCTTTCGTCATGGGTTACTTGTGTCAGTTTAGCGGTTACTTCGTGATTGAGGGAGCAGTAGTAATTCTTCAGTGTGCCCGGGCAATAGTAGTTTTATCACCTTGGAGGAGGTACAGCTAATAAATGTATTTGTTGGTTTTAGCCATATTAATTTTTATTGCTTTTAGGTTCAGAGGGGCAAGAGTCCAATTCTTGAACTTCCCTTGTTTCTGCTTTCTGGGCACTCTGCAGAAGGCCTTGGTGCTTGTCAGAGTAGCATGTTGAGGTTGAATGGCGGCTATGTTGTATGTCCTGATGTTGGATGTGATTATGTAATAAGTCTTCCAGCCCAACCCGCTCCAAAAAAATCAAAAAGTTGTTCCAGATTTTGCTTACCTGATGATGATAATAATTTTAAAAAATATGTAATGCACTCTGCACCCTAGTGAGCAAAGACTCGTCTTATATTCATATAAGACTACATGTTTGTATGTATAATTCAAAAAAAAATATTGTATTTTATACATTTTAAAATATTTTAAAAATAGTCATATGTTGCAATTAACTTTGTAAAATTTGTAAGTGTAAAAGTGAAATTTTTTAATAAATTTAGTGACTTATGTGCGAGGATGATTATATTTCAATTTTTGAAAAAAATTTTAAAATTTGAGTAGGAGAACGAGAGAATGACTTATCTGCCTAGTCACATATAACATAATTTTGTAAATTTATACATAAAAAGTGGAAATTTTACTAACAAATTTAATGTCTTGTACACAAGGATAAGACTTAAAATTGGTAGAAGTATGGCATAATTTTTGAAAAATATACTATTAATGTCTCGTACGCAAGGATAAAAGTTAAAATTGGTACAAGTACTACATAATTTTTGAAAAATGTAGTACTAATTTTAATTGTATTTTTTGTTTTAAATATTATTCTTACTCTATAAGTACAAATTAATATGCGTAATTTTGTAGAACATGTATTATTATGCTAAATTTTTAATCATATTTTTGAACAAAAATTATACAATATATGTACATATAATATCTTGTATTATATCCGTTTTGTATTTTATCAACTATGCTTTGCACCTTTCGACTGTTAAATTTATCCTCCATAGAACTTATGGCCTGGAGCCGGAACAACATTTGTCGCGGTCGCTCATTTTGTATGCTTGCCGGTCGGGTTATTGATACGGTGTAAGTCAACTATTTATTATAGCAAGTAACTCTACTCTTAATTTGACAAAAAAAAAAAAAAAAGTAACTCTACTCTTAAGTTTATTATAGCAACTCGAACTCTACTCAAAAATGAGTGACTCAACTCGATTTTATTGAATTCAATCAACTCGATTTTAGCAAGTAATCTACTCGCACATATGTATTAAATATATTAAATATGTTTTTTGTATTTATAATAATATTACATTTTTTCCATCTGCTGCTGTCACTATTTCTTCTTCACGAGTACGACTTTTACCAAAAAAATTCTCCTTTTTCTTCTTTGACTATTTCTCCCCCTTATGCAGACCGTATGACCCCTCCTTCTTTCCATATTCTTTATCTTCATGTTTGATGGCTCTTTATCTTCTTCTTTAATCAATTCTTTTTTTTTTTGGCTAGTTCCTAAAACTTCGGTTTCTTGGATCTTGTATCCCAAAGTGATAAGTCTGATTGTTGAAGGCTACAAGATTGAAGCTTTATTTGCTTTTTCAGCTTCGTTGTTTTGGGGATCATCGATTGAAGACCGTATTTGATTTGATTGCTGTTTTGTCTTTGGATATTTGCGTTGTATTATTTGCTTTATAGTTCACAGATTTGCGTTGGATATTTGCGTTGTATTTCTGTTCATGGTATTTGTTTTATGAATTTTTTGAATTATACGGTCCTGAAATCATAGATTTTGGTTTTGGATTTGAAATCATTCGATCGGAGTTCCATTTAGCTTGGAAACTGGTTTGAAATTAGTTTTGATGGAAAAAAAAAAGAAAATGGATGCTCAATTGAGCTCCAATACGAGCTCGAGTCATGCACTGAGTCAAGCTCAGGTCTATGGTGAGAGTTTTAGAGTCAAGCTCGAGCTTGAGCGTATGGGTATTTGAGTTTGGTTTAACTCGATTATATCTCTACCTATCTTTATGACCCTAAATCTGAGAAGAACAAAGAAGGGTTAATTGCACTTTGCACCCCAACTATTCTTGTATTATATTTTTGCGACCTTAGCTATCCGGTTTAGCACTTTTTCACAAAGAAAAATTCAGCACTTGATTACGTTCAACTTGTAATTTATTGCACAATTTAAAAACCAAATCATCCCTAATGGGAAAAAAATTTATGACCAAGACACCCTCAATTTCATAGCTAACTTCCTAAAATACCTTGACCATAAAGAATTTAAGAAAAAGCTATTCACTCATACGATCTCTTGATTTTCATAGGAAATCTTGATCTCTCTCAAAAGTTTGCTTCTTTATCTATCTGAAAATTTAGACTATTGCAAAAGGCAAATTTTAAAATAAAAAGAAAAACAAAAAATACCGAATTGATGAACAAATAAAGCAACTATTGCCAATGTATGTTTTTCTGTACCTTTTATTTTAGTAGAGTAAAACAGTATCCTTAATTTTAGATCTCCACGGTTTTTCGTAATTTCCTTCCCGGAATATCTCATATCCTTGTTTGATTGCTCGTTTGAAAGGAAAAAAAAAAAAAAAAAAAAAAACTTTTGGAATCAGTTTAGCGTTAATTTAGCAAATCTTAAGTACGTATGCATGTGGGAGTGGACTAAAATGGAAAGGCATGGGTTGAGTATTTCTTCTTTTTTTTTTTTTTTTTTTTGGATTTTTGTAAGAGGTACACTATGAATACTTGTTAACATACTTATATTCTATTTAACTTACCATGTATACGTATGTATACCAACAATTACTACTTTTTCTTCCAGCTATACACTTTTCCTAATTAATCCTCTCACATTTATACGCTTTACCTAATAATTAATCCTAATATTTCTAAAAATCTAACATTTATACGCTTTACGCTTTAATATCCATGCAACAAATATAGACGGCAGTATGTGGTCCTTTGACTTTATTTTTGTGTTTGCGTTAGCCTTCTACTACTATTTCAATAATTACTAGTTATGTGCCATCCCTTTTATGATTAATAATAATTACCACTTGGTCGTACTCCGTAGGTTTTCCATCCAAAAAAATGAGAAAACGATTTTGTTGCTGCGTGTATTATAGGCCTTATAAGCCATATATACTCGTTCCGCCGCCATGTTCTGCAGCTATTTCTTTTGCAAAGGCCCATGGTTAAAGGAGTACAAAGGTTAGCCCGCTTTGAAGTAGGCCAATGGTTAAAAGGAGCCGTATCTCTCAAGACTGCCGATCTCTTGAATTGTGGTGTGCCCTAATTGCGATCTTATAAACGTCCCGAACTCGGCGAATCACCGCACCACCTAAACCCTACGGCCTAACCCCCGGTCCCCGTCCGCAGTCGTGGCCTTTGCTTCGCCATTTTGGGTCGTTTGTTTTGTTTCGATTAATTCTTGAATTTTCATTCTCGTACGCTCTCTGCAGATCAATTTTATCATCAGGGAAAAAGATGTCGGTCGGAGAGCTCGGCTGCACCTACGCTTCTTTGATTCTCCACGACGATGGCATTCCTGTCACTGTAACCTTTCTTTTCTTTATTCTCTTCTCTTCATTCGACATTAGTTTTTTCGGGGGTTTTTTTTTCGGACGTGTTATTCTGTGAGCTTTATTTTAATTGTTAGTACGTTTTTTCACAGGCAGAGAAGATTGCTACATTGGTGAAGGCTGCGAATTTAACCGTGGAATCCTACTGGCCTAGTCTCTTTGCCAAGCTCTGCGAGAAGAGGAACATCGATGATCTTATCGTCAACGTTGGCTGTGGCGGCGGCGGTGCTGCCCCTGCCGCCGTTGCCGCTTCTGCCGGCGCTGGTGGTGCTGCCCTGCCGCCGCTGCTCCCGCCGCAGAGGAGAAGAAGGTACCTTTATTTTGTACTATTTGTTGCCTATGTGTAGTTTTAACTTTATCAAAACCGATAGCAGTAGTAGTACACTGTAGTCGTACTCATAGGGAGCAAAATTGACGATATTAAATGGGCAAATGTCATTTTTTTCAGGAGGAGCCCAAGGAAGAGAGTGATGATGATATGGGATTCAGCTTGTTTGATTAGGTGTTTCTCAAGCTTATTCTCTTAGAAGAAAAGAATTAGGATCAACCAGTTGGAAGTTTTTTGGTATACTTTTATGTTATTTAAAGATGATTCTGATTTACCTTTATGATGTCAGTTACTGATCGGATGCAAAAAGTGTTCTATATTTTCATCCATTGAAGCATTTTCTTTTGTGATTATATTTGGGATGGTTTTCAGTTGGTGTTGACCTGGTGGAATGTTCCCTTCTTTCTTGCTAATTGCTTCTTGTCTTATAGCATAAAATGCAACTTATTTCCACTTATTATCATGCCCCGAAACAACTGTTCAAAGTAGTTTCCTAATCTTCCATGTTGTTGAGATTAATTGTCGAACTATGCAACATCTTAGTGATGCTACCGTTAGACTTGTATTGTGGACTAGATTTTCACGCCCATGATTTTCTCGCAGTCTGTCATTTTATTTGTTTTACCAGAATTCACTTATTATTTCTCGCATTCTGTCATTATATTGGACTTTGTTTTACCCCAATTCACTTGTATTGTGGACTAGATTTTCACGCCCATGCTACCGTTGGACTTAGTTTATCTGCAATTGTGACTTTATTATTTGCTGGCTTCTTTTGCAAACTTTCCACCCTATTACTTTTTACCAAGCTGCTTAGAACTGTATGCAGCTCATTTTTCCTGGGAAGTGGGTTATAAAATTACTTTTTTAGTATGTTTTATGCTCTTCATTGAACCATTATTTAATGGACCAGAAATGAACTTTCCCAAGAAATAAAACACGGTTTACTTGAACCTGGGCATAGACCAAGTAGACAAGCCCCTGCAGTAATTCTGTTGGTTTAGTTGATTTTTTTTATTGTTTAGCAAACAAACACAGTGGATGTGATCACCTTGTCATTACGATTTTTTATTTCAACTCTATATTCTTCCTAGCCCTCCTTAGTGATTGATGTTGGCTTTTGTGACCCCTTTGCGGTTTTCTTGAGGAGGTGCAGTTTCATTCCTTTCGTCATTTAAGGGGATATTTCTTCGGCTGTGCGAAAGTTGTGGGGGGTTAGTATGATAGTGTTTAACCAAGATCTTTCTCTTGATAAGATGCCTGCACTAGCGACATTACATGATTGTCAAACTGAAAACCTTAGCATAAGGGCATCATCATGGTTTTGTGGCCATGTTTAGGGCAAATGAAAACTCATTGATCGCAGTTCACCATATTGAAACGTCACGTAGTGAAAAGACACTGAATATATTGGTTTCTTTAAGAAGCGTGATTTTTAGCACATATTGTGAATCCGTGGTATTAATAGCCAAAGCCTATGTGGTGGTGATTGTGGGATTGAAGTGGATGTACCTGAAGAACAGATGGGCTCAGAATAAACTTCTTACAGTGAATATCGGATTCACCAGGTAATGTGGTCTCGTCTTGCAACGTTACTTGATGAGGAGGGATTCGCTGTGTATGTTTGTACCAAACAAGCACCAAGTACCCTACCCTTCTCGCAGGTGTCTCTTGGTTTATTCGTGTTTAAAAAAAAAATAAAAATTCCTGTATTGCAACCATGGTTTAACTTTAGCACAACTGGACCGATGTTTTTCTGGAAAATAATTGAATATCTTCCGGTATTTCTACCGTGATTTGACTGAAGCACAATGCCTCTGAGGTATGAGAATTTGAAGTTGGTTAAGTAAGCGCCTTGCGTTAGAAAAAGAGTTGGTTGTTTCAGACGCTGCCTAGTTGGGAAGGATGTATCAGAATGAAATTATCGCCAAATGAACGAGTTTTATAGGGTTTGAGCGATCAGTTGCAGCAGTGATGAAATTATTATTCTTCCTACCTTTACACATGGAGAGTGTTTTTAACTTTGGACGAGAGATGTGTCCCATGGAGAGTCCTCGAATGTTCTTGTTGAGAGAGAGAGAGAGACGATTTGAGATTCCAAATGTGGCATAGCAGTAGTAGATATTAGGATTGTCAAGCTTTTGTTGTGGATCGACGGACCAGTGTTGAATCGCTATCGCCTCAACTTCCGGACCATCTGTAGGAAAATGTGAAAAAAACCTGGTTTGCGTGAAATCACTCTACTACTAATGCATTCGGATTCGGATGGGTCGTCCTTCACAGGAATTTTCCATGCGAAAAATTAGAGGTAATTCAGCTGTAAATCACCACTAAAAATGACCTCCCGTGAATCACCACTGGGTTCTTCTTGTGTTAGCTTTTGTCTGTATATACTCCCTCCCTCCGTCCCACTTTGATAGTTTCATTTCTTTTTTCGTACAGTTTAAAAAAAAAGTAATTAACTTTATTGAAAAAGTAAATTTAGATTGTTATTTTTCTAATATACCCTCACATTAAATATGGTACAACTTTACGGGAACTTGAATTGATGGTAAAAAAAAAATCAACTCTCGTTAAATGGGGTAGGTTTATAGTAATAACAACTTATATTGAATAAGGGTATTTTAGAAAAATTAAAATTTAACTACATTCTTCAATTGGAAAGTGGACTGCAATTTAGGATAGACTAAAAAGGAAAACAGGACTATCAAAGTGGGACGGAGGGAGTATTACGTAAACACAGGAGTGCGCTCCGGCTGTTGTCAACTCGTAGGCATGAATATATATTCCAATTAGCCCAAATGAAAAATGTATATAAGTAAGTAGTAGTATTTCATTTTTTTTTAAGTGAAATAAATATTTGCAAGTGTGACTTGATTTTAAGCGGGTCGTAATCAAACATGGTTGAAAGAAAATGTAAAATCGCTCCTAACAGAAATGAGCAAGTGGCGTCAAATAGTGGGCTGGGTGCAGAGCAAGCAAGTGGGGCGGGAACGGAGGGCCAGGTCAGTGGTGAGTGGTCACGAACGCCGGCCGGGCAACGCTACTTTGACCTCCGTGTTTGACTCGGACTCGGTGCTTCTACTGCAAGTGGTGCCTTTCTTGCAACTGCCAGGCAATGGTCGTTTGGATTGTTTATTTTAAATAATTCTTCTTTCTTTTAGCAGAGGAGCAGGTATTAATTTTGAGATAAAAGTAGTAAAACTCAAATCCAATTATTCAATTAATATAGTTATAGAAACCACCTACTCTCTTAAGCTGATGGTCACCACTAAGTCATTAAGACTTTGAACCCTCGCCTCTAATCAAAATGTCACTCTTGTGGCTTTACTTCAAATCCAAACGAGTGCGTAGTGCATTTGTTTAGTCCGATGGTGATTTTATCCTCATCGATTTTCATAGGCTCAGTTAAATCTTTCCGTAATTAAAATAAAACTAAGAATAGGGGTGATAATTGATAAAAAAAAAAAATAATAATATAATTGTAGTCCGGACTCATCGAAGATGGGATGGAAAGCATGGTGAGGTCCCACATCCGATTTGACTCAGGATCATAGAATTCTAAGAAGATCCGGAGATCATGATTCTATTGATCTTATTAATTTAAAACTAATTTTCAATCCCACTTAAGATTTGAATCATTAGCCATGATCCGGATTGGTCTGTAGATGGTAAGTCGGGATCTAACAATTTTGGAAAGAATCAAATTGCTCGTCCACTGCCTGAATATTGAATATATGTATTTTAAAGAAAAACGTCAGCCAAAGAAAACTAGCCACGTCCCACCTGTCAAAACAGAAAACCATGACAAATTTGACGCGACGGTTCTCCAGTTGGTTGGAGCGCTTTCCAGACTCGCTGTTGATTGAATTTGACTTGGCACGCGCAAAGTTCTTTGCCACTAGACAAACTTGGGAACAAAGAAACTTCCCATTCTTCGTCGGGGTCTAAGTTCAGGAGGGTTCCGGATATTTCTCTCTCATCACTAACAGTTAAAGCACCTTTTCCGTGTATGCATATATGCATATATAAACCACCTCTCTCCCCTGTTTTCTTCACAACCGCATCCACACACAAAGCAATTCCTCCAAAGTCAGCAGAATTAAAACTCTCTCTCTCTCCACTCTTCCCCTTTGTTGTAGTCCTCCTTTTATTAGTCTTGCTCCCAAACCCAAAAAAAAAAATCCAAGAAGAAGATAGCATAAGCATAATCAAAGTCATGTTGATGTCTTTATTCAGTTCTTTTGATGCCCTTTGTGCCGAATCCTTCGGCCAAAAGTCATGGGCACCCGGTGCTTCTAAAAGCCACCATCAACAACAAGAAGAAGGGGGTCAGGGTCTCCTCTTGTTGTTTCCTCCGAGCGCAAGGCGGCAGGCCTAGTGTCACTTGATGATGCTGGCGGCAAGAACAAAGGCAAACAAGGAAATAGGCCGTCATCCCCTGAGGCCAACAAGTCTGGAGATCATCATCATCGTCCGTTGCAGCAGAAAAGGAGACCAAGGTTCGCCGTGGAATTGGATGGGCTGCACTGTTTCGAAACCATCATCCCCTATTAATCGATTATTGATTTTACTTTGTGGTAGTGGCAGAAACAGATTTTGATTCTTTATCCGATCCCCTTCATTTTAAGTGCGTATAGATGTTGTCAATTTGGTATAGCACTAGTCTGTTACTACAGCATTCTTTGTTTTCCCTTTTCTTTTCAAAAATCAATGGAGTTGCTGCCGTTTTTTCATTCTTCGATTTCCTGTTATGATCCGTGGGATTGTCCGATCGTCTTCTCGCTCGCGTACTGTTGCATATACTACTATTATACTGATGATCTTCTTTTGCTGCTCCTGAACCACTATGATGAGAGACTGCCGAAAGAAGCATCTTATATTTACCCACGACGTTCAAAATACAACAGGGAGACCCTTAAGCTTACCCACAAAAGCTATTTTTGTAATTTTTAAGAGTTTTTGATTTCACGACGGACGGAAGGACTGCGTTTGGTCGCTAATTCTTTAGAGGGGTTGCGTTGCAGAGTGAATCTCAAACTCAGTACTCTGTACCCCCTTAAGCTCGTTGGCTTTCTTTAGTCTCACATATGATATCTATCAGGCTTTCTCTGCAAGGAAAAAGTCATCCGTGGTTGCTGCTACAAAGCAACTAATCGAACCTTACCCTTTCAACATTATTTGCTGAAGAGAGGTGGTAAATCGCTTTCTTTCTTCCTCTCCCCTGGCTTGGGTAGAGCCCTCTTTAGTGATTATAACTCCATTTTTGTTTTTATTATTTTTTTGTTGTGGCATCTGAAATTTGATACGTCACATTAAAGGTCGAAATAATTCAGGAACTTCTTTCACGTGGGATCTCTTCTTTGTTCCTGGAAAAAGAAGTGGAGTGCCGGAGAGAAAACGTGATGCTAGTACGAGGTGATGTATAGAGATATAGACTGAAAATAAGGTGAAGAAAGAAACGGGAATTGACAGTGTAGTATTTGGGCACGGCAAGCAAAAACTTGGATAGATCTGCTGTAATAGATTTCGTCACATTTTTATTTATTGTGTATTTAATACTTGAATTAGTGACAAATTTTGAATTACTTGATGGATCTCGTAAATAAATTAGATCTACCCAAGTTTTTGCCTTTGATCATCTTATAACTGGGAGTTGATCCGCGAAGAAAGTGAGAGATAAATGTGGGTGTGATTGGCATTCGACACATGTTTTAGGTATTATTTCACATGCTCTTATATAACAGAACGTGTATCTATTAGACACTCACTAAATGTTAGGAAGATGAGATTAATCAAAGAATGTGTATAAATGTAAAGAAGCATGGTAATAATTATTATTATGCGCGTGTGTGTATATATATATAATAAATTGAGTGGAATTGATGTCTTAAACTGAGTAGAAAAACCCATTATCATCACTAATGAGGAAACGTGGGGATAACATAATAATAAGCCTTATCCTTTCCTTCTCCATTTTCCAAACCAATCCCGCCCAAGACGTCATCTTTTTTTTCATCTGAACTCTGACGAGAAGGAAGCTTGAAAAATGATCGATGTTTCAATTTGCAAGTAATTTAAGGATGTCTCAGTCCTAATAAGGATGCGTTTTGCACTTGCAAACACTTGGAGAATAATTAGCAAAAGAATTTCAATGAAAGAAAAAACCAAAATTACCCACAGAGATCCAAAAGCCCTAAGATATTTTCTACTCCTTCCTCTCAACTGGCGTATATCCCTCACCTGTAGTACTTGGAGAATTTTAAATTTCTAGACAGTGGTAAAAAGTAAAAAATAGACGGTTTCTTTTTTTTTTTTTGGCTGGCTTTACTTGTCTTTAAATTCATTCCTTACTTCTTGCGTCCCACTTCCAACAATAAGCCGGTGGCATCTGAACATTCACTTAAGCCATTAAAATAACTTGTGTGCTACCCTCTCCTCCTTTCTATCTTCGTCTTGCTACCAAATCTAAAGGACTAATAATCCTGTGCTGTGTTTGGCAGCTGGCCTCCCGTTGTTCAACAAATGGGTTGTGTGGGTGCAATTGCTGCTGTGACCATGGTTCATAGACTCGGCCAAGTCGTCACCGGAATAGGGGTTCCGATCCGATATCAGGACCAGATGATTTTGAGATAATGAATCGTCAAGAACTCGCTCGAAACGTCTCTGAAACGGATAAAAAACTGTCGAGTTGCACCGATTCACCTTGAATCATCTCGAATCAAATCGAAATTTTATTAATTTTGCTAATTTTTTAATCATATTTTTTTACAATTTTTAGAATATTAAATATTTCAAAAATTTGCGTCTCGACGAAACTGCGACCGATATGTCGAGACCGATGTGGAACGGTTCAAGCCGTGACCGCTATCACGACCGCTACTTTGAACCATGGTTGTGACCGCACCTGTTGCTGTTGCCGACATCACCAAGGCCGGGGCTTCGCGCCTACAGTTCACCATAATCTCCTCCTAGTAATAGTAGTACATGTTTCTTCTCTTTTTCTTTTTCTTTTTTTTTAATGTAAATGAGAGCTCTCAAACTCGAAATCTCTTATTTACATTTCCTTCGTTCATACTGTCTAATCCATCCCTTCCTCCGTGTTTCTTCTCATTTGAATCTGCCTTTTGTTTCATATTGTGTAATTAGGCTCGTTGTTTGGGTACGTATCATCATTGTATGCATGCCTGTGGTTTATCAGGAGGAAGTAAGAGATGGATTAACTAGACTCCAGACGCTCAAGGCAAATTGTATAACCCGAGTTAATGGAGGGACGACTGAGTCAAATCAGCAAATCCCCAAGTTTGCACCTGAATTTGACGGTTTACACTGTTTTGAAACCCTGGTGGTGGGTCAATAATTAAATTAATTTGCAGCTGTCCAGTAAAGTTGGTTCTCTGTTTGAAGGCGTCAGGGGGCATGGAGGATTCAAGGCAGGGCCACACGCCGGGGCCCTGGTTGTTTCTAATTGTAGCTTATTTGCCGACATTTTCTCACTTTCTGTAGGACTGCTCTTGAATCTTATTGGTACCATGGTCCGTCCCAACACACCATCTTTCCCCAAAGCAGATACATAATCTCCTTAAAAAGCTGGTTGGGTTTGTCAAAGTCGCACTTGTAAACGTTGTGTTCCGTCTGTCTCACTTTGATGGTCCTAATTTTTTTCATACAGTTTAATAAAAAGTAATAAATTTTATTAAAACAATTAATTTAGGTAACTATTTTCCTAAAATACCCTCACATTAATTAGAGTACAACTTTATGAGAATTTAAATTGATGGTAAAAAAAAAATCAACTTTCATTAAATGGGATAGGTTTATAATAACAACAACTTACATTATATAAAAGAATTTTAGGAAAATTAAAATATAATAATATTTTTCAATTGAAAAGTGGACTATAATTTGAGATAGACGAAAAAAGGAAAACAGGACTATCAGAGTGTGTGGGACGGAGAAAGTAGAAGATATAATAATACTCGTAAACGTTAGCCAAAAGAGCTAGTAATAAATGCTTCATGGTTTTCTGTGGTTTTCCCCTAAAGTACAACAGAGCTCCTTTTTGTGCTAGTAATTATGATTGGCGCGATCAAGCGCTTGTGTGCTTCGCTGTTATCACCTACAGTCAAATTGTTAGGACGGTGATCCCAGTTCGTTGTGCTACTGAAAGTTTTATGACACAATTTGTCGCGTTAGTAAAATGATACTGCTAATATATTTGTCTAAGACGTTTGTGCTTGTACTGGAAAGTTATGGAACCGGGAATAGAGCCCTGAAATTCAGTCATAAACACAGCATTTCCGAATGGCTGTAAGCTTTGCTAGTTCCATGTACTTCGGTCCAGAAAACTACAGATTGAAAGCGCATACCTAAAATTACAGATTGAAGTGGCGTATTACACATCCATATGCACGATGCTACCTTGTTCAAAATGGTATACATAAACTGGGAACAACCATCAAACCCAAATTCCTTGAATTGCAGAAAGAGCACGCGATAAAAGCCTAAGCATACATAAATAGTCCCGAAAAGAGTGTGACAGAAGCGGAGGGAGGCAACAAACGCCATTACTATCAATTATACATCCTTCTTTCTAACTTGTGCGTATGTCTTGAGTATTGTAGCCAGACGCACAGAAGAGCCCGCCAACAAAAAGAAAACAGAATCTAAAACCGGATAAAAGCTAAAATTTCACCAACTGAGAGCTACGGCAGTGACAGGTGCAATTATACACCACTTTTCAAATATGTCTTATGTCCTGGACACGCTCTTCTTCCTATGTTTGCAAACGTTTTTGCGACGCTAAATATGATTGCCTTAGTAAAGAGTCCATGATCGACACTACAAGCAACAACCACAGCCCCTCCCAAAATTAGAAGCTTTGGTATGATCATCCCCCTAGGCTTTTCAGTTGACTCCAGCATCTCAGATTCTGACGAGTCTTCTTCGCTACTTTCTAAGGACCTCAGGTGGTCTGGGTCAATCTTTGTGTTAATTTGAGCCATAAATGCAGCCTGTGAGAGCAATGCCCCAGACGCTCTTGTCCTTTGATAAGATCGAAAACCACGCTCAATCTTTCTGACAGTCCCCCACATACCCTGTCTTACTCCAATTTTGCAATTTCCCATGGGATGCCCATATCTTCGTGATGGAAGAGTAACACCTCACATGCATCTAATTGGCCATTTCCCTTCCTCGACTCCACTGTTTCATGCACCCATGAGTAGTTATGCAACTAGCAAACACTTGCACTAATTAAGATACATACAATAAGATGTGTAAAGAAGTAATTTTTGTCTTGGAAAATAATCAGACGTTGCAAAAGAAAGCAGTGCAGAACTATAATCAAAGGGTTCTGTTAATTATGTGGATGCATGCTTGCCAATGGAACAAAGAAGAAATTTTTTTACTGCTTGTATGTACCATTGAATAATAAAGGTCGACACGTCTTGGTTTGCCCCGCCTTGGAATAGAATCACAAGGCACTCCCTGATTTGAAAAAGGAAAAAGACAGGAATCACATTAGAATAAAACCCACAAGGATGTACAGTTGACAAAAGCAACTGTAGGGAAACATAGAAAATCTGTACACACTGCCTGCTTTGAATATTGTTAGTAACCAGAACTAACACCGCTTATATTTCCTCCCTTATGACCAGTTTCACCTCACTAAGAAAGAAAGAGAATCGAAGAAACTCCTATATGACCTATGCCCACACAACACAAAAAAAAAAAAAAAAAAAAAAATCGAAGAAGCTCCTATAATGTCACAACGTCACAACAACATGGTACTCTTAAAGGCATCTATAGAACGTTAAGGTACATCTTGACATGAAGTGATGTCCCTTATTTTGATCAGATGATATTATGAACAACAAGGTGCTACCAGAAAAGGCCATCTTTTTTAACATGATAGCCACATTCTATTATGTAGCTTTCCAACATTCTTCCAGCACCTTCAGTTCCTCTCTGCATCAGTGCCAAAACAATTTTTGGCAATAGTCTTCATCATTCTTCATCACCTCAATCATGTCAAGCACAAGTTGCTAATATGACTGTAAGGAACTTTAACAAGGACAGAAACAAAGTCACTCTAGTTTAAAAAAGACAGGCACATCATTTAATATTTTTGCAGTCCTTTACTTCCACTTATATGTTTGCAACTGATCCTTTGGTTACCAAATCTCCCAATAGAGCACTTATTTGATTTTTTTTTTTTTTGCATTTATGTATTCATAGAACAAATATCTAAGCTGACCATCAAATACTTCCCTGACCTTGGACCTAACCGTCTTGAAGTACTTCTTTTTCATTTGAGTAGTTCAATAATCTTTCAGCTCCTACTTCAAAATTGAAAAGATAAAAAATTTAAAATGTATTGACTGACATGCATTTCACAAATGTATAGGCAGAAAACCAACCAAAAAGAAGAGTCTCTCACAAACCTTAGTGACACAGTAATAGGATCTTCCTGATTCCCATATTCGACGGCCAATTATGTATTCTCGGTCACTGCAGAAGAAGGGAAACTGCCAGAAAGAGCATCTGAACAAAATAAGTACCAGCAAGAAAATATAATGCCTGTGCTGTAATGATAAAACAGAGCATTCTTAACCTTTCTTATCCAGTGCAC